AGCAGTGTCATCTTGATCGCGTTCACCCTTCCTAGCCAGGAGATGTAGTATGAGTTCCATGAGCGCAATTCTGCTATCGCCTTTTTTAGGATGGGGGTGTAGTTGTGGGCATAGAGATCCGTCGGGTTCGGTGTAAGCTTAACTCCTAGGTATCGCATGGTTTGGTCGCACCATCGGTAAGGATGTTGTCGTTGGAGTGTGTGGTTGATGGAGAGGCCCAGGATTTCTGATTTTGAAGAATTGATTTGAAGATTTGAGACACGGCCATATGCCTCAAACTCCGACTGTATGGCGTGTAAGGTCGATTCTGGGGATGTGACTATGAATAGGAGGTCGTCCGCGTAGGCCAGTGTTTTATGGTGTGTCTGTCCTATTTTCAACCGCTGTATGTTATCGTTACCTCTGATGCGGTTTAAAAAGGGTTCTAGCGTCAGTGCAAATAGTAGGGGTGACAGGGGGCAGCCCTGCCTGGTCCCGTTATGAATCTGGAATGGATCGGTCAGCGCTCCATTGATCCGAATGCGGGCTGTTGGGTGTGTGTATAGTGCTTTTATCCAGGTGAGATAGTTCGGTCCGACGCCGAGGTGCTGGAGTGTGCCGAACATAAGATCCCAGTCTACTCTGTTAAACGCTTTTTCAGCGTCTGTGGACAGAAGGAGTGTTGGGGTTCTCTGTGTTCTGGCGTGGGCTATGATGTTCAGGGCTCTGATAGTGTTGTCCCGTACCTCTCTCCCCGGGATGAACCCCGTTTGGTCCGGGTGCACTGTCATGGGCAGCAGTGGTGCTAGGCGCGCCGCCAGGACACTGGCTAAGAGTTTGAGGTCCGTGTTTAATACGGAGATTGGGCGGTAGCTTGGGCAGAGTGTTGGGTCCTTACCGTCCTTAGGTAGGAGAGTGATGTTTGCCGCTGTGAACTGGGCTGTTGGGGTGGCTCCCTCCAGAATGGAGTTGAGGGCCGTTTGCAGTTTCAGGAGGAGCTCTGTTGTAAAGTTCTTGTAGTAGGAGAGGGGGAAACCATCCGGGCCCGGTGTCTTGCCTGTTTTCGCTTTTTTGATGGCGAGGGCCAGTTCCTCAGTTGAGATGGGTGTCTCCAGATTTTCTCGGTCGGCGTTTTCTAGTCTGGTTCCGCTCGCTGTTTCTAAGTATCTTTGGATCTCCTCGAGTTTGTGGCGGTGTGGTTCCTCTGGTGTGTCTTGACGCAGATGGTATAGTCCTTGGTAATAGGTGAGGAACGCGGATGCTATTTGGTCCGGGAGGTGAAAGTGTTGCTGTTGAGGGCCCTTGATTTTCGGGATGTACAGTTGGGACTTGCGCTGTTTTAGTAGGTTCGCCAGTAGCCTCCCGCATTTGTTCCCATGTTCATGAATTATGTGTTTGAAGTGTTGGTATGTGCGCTGTATCGAGCGGTTCAAGTGTGTCGAGAGTTGTTCCCTCTTGACGGTCAGGTCTCTGTATGTCTCCGCGTCTAGGGTGCGTTTGTGTTTGGTTTCCAGGGCTGCGATCTCCTTGCTGAGGGCTATCGTTGCCTGCGTTGCTTCTCGTTTGCGGGTGGCGCATGTCGCAATTAGCTGTCCTCTGATCACCGCTTTGTGAGCCTCCCAGCATGTCAGGGGTGTCGTGTCTCCTTGCTCGTTGTCTGTGAAGTAGTTTTGTATGGACTGCCTGGTCTTTTCCACCACCAGTACGTCCGAGAGGATCGATTCATTCAATCTCCAGGAGGTTTGTCGCGGTCTGTAAAGAGGCGATTTTATTGTTATTCGAACCGGGCAGTGGTCTGACCACGTCATAGGTAGTATTTCCGCCTTGTTGAGGAGGGCGAGGTCGCGGTGTGGCATGAGAAAATAGTCTAATCTAGAGTATGTCGAGTGCGTTATGGAGTAGAATGTGTAGTCGCGTGTCGATGGATGTAGTGCGCGCCAGCAGTCTGCAAGTTGGTGGTAGTAGATGGTGCGCAGCGTTCTGGCGTTTCTGTTGTCCGGTGTGGGCCCGTGTTTGGCCGTTGAGTCTTGCTCTGCGTGCAGTGGCAAATTGAGGTCCCCGCCGACGATCAGGGTGCCTTCTGCGAATTTCATCAGTGTGTTGAGTGCAGTGCGTAGGAAGAGGTGCTGTTTTGTGTTTGGGGAATAGAGGTTGGCAAAGGTGTACGTCTGGTCTAGGATGGTACCTTTCGTAAAGATGTATCTGCCTTGTCTACATCTGAGTGTGTCTTGCTCTACATACGGGATCTGGCTTGAGAAGAGGATTCCCACTCCTAGTGTGCGCCGGTCCGGGTTGTTACTGAAGTATCCCTGCCGGAAGTATCTGTCTTTCAGCGCTGGCGCTCGGCCTTCCTGGAAGTGTGTCTCCTGAAGGAACGCTATGGAGGTCTTGTAGTGTTTAAGGTCTCGTAGGAGTCTGGAGCGCTTCTCCCGTATGTTGAGGCCGTGGACGTTGTAGGTGACGATTGAGAGGTCTTCCCGGGCGTACCGGTCCATTCCCGGGGTCGGCAGCCCCGGAGCGGCCGGGGGGGGCGAGCGGTGCAGCGACTGGGGGGGGGTGAGGGTGGGTGCGTCTGGTATATGGGGGGTGGGTGTGCGGTCTATGTGTAGTGGTGGTTGTGTCTGAGTGAACGGCCTAGTTGATTGTGGTTTTTACTATGATGCTTGAGCTTTATCTGGTGTAGGATAGTGGACAGGTGTCTCAGTGATCAGGTCCCCTTTTCCTGCTGTGTGCAGGGGTCGGGTCTGAGCTGAGATTGAGGTCACACCCTCCGAATGAGGGATTGTCGTGTCCTGTTCCTATGGGGGCGGCGGGGAGCCGATCTGGTGTGATGGGCTCTGCCTTGTGTTGTTGTGGTTTTGCCCGTTGTGCTCTGGGCTTGTTGAGGGAGTTTGCCTACTGTTTGGGGTTCGTGGGTGTCTGTCTCCTGTGTGGCCTTGATCTATTTTGTTCGCTTCGCCTTTCAGTTTGGTGCGGGTGTGGGTCATCCGCTGTCAGCGGGTAGTGATTGGTCTGGCTTGGATCGCGGTCGTCTGCCTTGGCGGGTACTGTGGTCTGGTCTCCGGGGATTCCCATGTCGGGTTCTGGGGTTTGGGTCTTTGGTCGTATGTGCCGGACGAGTCTAGGTCCTCTGTCCGTGTTGGCGGGATGTGTTCGTTGAATCCCAAGTGTGGTCCCAATGAGGGGGGGGGGCGGTTGGGCCTGTGGGTGTCGCCTGAGTTGTAGGCTGCTAGTACTGTTGCCTGCTGCAGTTCTGCGGTGTGCGCTCGGGTGCAGGGGGTTCTGTATGTTTCTCTGTGTCTTAGCGGCTTTCTTTCCTGCCGTGGGTGTAGTGCGTCTCTAGCGTTTATGGGGTGGGTGCTGCCGTGGGGCCAGGGTTACTACTGGGGCTCTCTGTGCCTATCTTCTCTCTTCCATCCCCCCGCTAGGTTCTGTCGCCTCTCCCTATAATAGTGTGGTGTCTGCTCCTGGGCGGAGGCGCTTTTGTCTCTGTGTGGGTGTCTTGCCTGCGTGAGGGTCGGGTGCTTAGGTAGCGGTGTCGTGGGCAGTTCACCCTTGCCTGTATGGTGTCTGTCGTCGCATGTCCGTGACTGCGCCCCTGTTTTCGTCTCCTGCCTAGTGATGGTGGTTAGGCTTGTCTGTACGTCAGGTGGCTGAGTCTCAGGTGGTGGTGTGTCGCGGATCACGTGTATTATCTGGGGTTCCCCTCCATTCCCTCCCTACCCCCCATCCTGTTGTGTATTTATGTACCCTTCAGGGTCGTGTGTGAGGGTTTGAGCTACTGAGTTGCGTTGGGCTCTCCCGGTTCTGGGTGCCAGTCTTTCCTGCGAAGGTCGCGTTTTGGTTCGGTCTTCGGATCTCACTCGGGTGCGTCCTCTTAGGTGATCCTAGGGTGCGTGCTCTAGTTGCCTTACCCTTCTCTCCTTTCTTACCCTTTCGTACCTCCCCCCTCCCCCCCCCCTTCGTATGAGTCCTTATCTTGGTGATGAGTCTTGTGTCCCGTCCCCCGCCCAAAAGCCCCCTGAGTCTCACCCATGCGGTTCTTGGGGCTGCTGGTTGACTGTGTGGTCGATCTCTTTGTGTCTGACCATCATCTTTATGGGAGCGGCCCCCCCTGTCCCCCCACCCAAAGCCCCATGCGGTATGTTCGAGTTCTGTGTTGTGTCCCCAAGTTAAGTACTCACAGTTCGTTGTGGTCGTCTGCTGGTAAGTGGTTTCTTGTCTTTAGCCGCCAAGGCAGTGCCGTGCTGTGTAGGGTTTACATCTCTCGCCCGGCTCGACCTGGGAGTCCATCCCGGTGGCGTTGCGGTTGAGGTCTACGCTGGTTCGGGCCATGCCCTTGCGGTTGCTGGGGTCTGTTTGGTTGTAGGAGGAATGACCTCGCCAGCCAGTTGGGGACCGTGACCGGTGGGAGTCCCAGGGTGCGCATGAATGCGTGGACGTCGTCGGGTTTCCTTATCGTCAGAAAATCCGGGCCGTGCCTGGCGGAGAGGGAGAAGGGGTATCCCCAGCGGTACTGGATGCCTGCATGCTGTAGGGCGGTGGTGATTGGCCGTAGTGCCCGTCTGGCTTGTAGCGTGTAGCGGGAGAGGTCTTGGTATATTGTTATGGTCTGGTCGTCCATGCGGATGTTGCCTATGCGTCTAGCCGTGCGCAGAATTTCTTCCTTCAATTGGAAGTTATCCAGGCAACAGACTATGTCTCTGGGCTGGTCTCCCGAATATATTTGTATAATGTTATCATATCCCCTCTCAAGCTACATTTTTCTAAACTAAATAGGTTTAAATTTGTTAACCTTTCTTCAGACCTGACTTCAAGTAGTCAGACCTTGCAAACACTGACAAACCACAACACACTGCACAAGCCTACCTCAATTTATTCATAAGGAACACATTTTTAAAATGTGAGACAGAGTACCAGGACATTTAAATAAGGGTACAGTAGACCAAAATCTGAGACAGTTGGCTAGTATGGGATATCATACACAAAATGCAAATCCGGAATGATAGTAGTTTTGGTATGTTTATATATGCATAATAATCAATTAATTACAGTTGTTTTGATTGTTGCTCTCACATGATATATTTTGCATTATTGATTAAGCCAAGATGGTATGCAATGTTTGCCTTAATCTCAGTTTTGTTTTGTTATTTATAGGAGCTGTGGAAAATTATTCCTTCACCAATGAAATGATGTGAAATAAGGCTTGCATGAGCATTTTCTCAAGACTATGAATAGGCAAATAAATACTGACAATGGAAAAATTGCAACCAGACTGAGCCCAGGACAACATAAAATGTAACCACAAGCTCTAAAATGTTATTAAAATGTGACTTATTCAGCATAAAATGAAAAGGAACACTATAGTCACCAGAACAACTACAGCTTAATGTACTTCTGGTGAGTATGGTCGGTCCCTGCAGGCCTTTTGCAGTAAACACCGTCTTTTCAACATAGGGACACATCCAGTGCTACACAATGAGCAGCACTGACATTCAATGTCTCCATCCTCTAAACTTTCCTCATAGAGCTGCTTTGATTCAATGCATCTCTGAGGAGATGCTGATTTGCCAGTCCGATGTTTGGTTCCGCCCTCTGCCCGCTTCTTGGAAGATAATCAGAATTTACAATCTCAGCCAATCCAATGCTTTCTTGTGGGAAAGCATAGTGATTGGCTGAGGTCATCACTTCTGATGAGGTCAGCTAAGAAAGCAGATCAGGGGCAGAGCCAGCACCAGCAGACTGGAATAAAGGTAGGTTTTACTATATTTAGGGGGGGGCAAATGGTGAGCCGGGGGGGCATGATAGTGTTTTTAATTAACACTATAGGGTCAGGAATACATGTTTTATTTTATAATAAAAAATAATGCATATATATATTATATATCTTGTTATGCATTTTATTAATATTATATTATATCATGCAAAATGTGAGGGCCCCAGTGTGCATTTTATCTGCTAGCTATTTACCTTACTGTTTTTTTTTTCTTTGTTCAGATAAGCACTACAATGTGCAGCTGTATTTCAGATTCCTCTATTTATTCATGTATGGTATGAAATATTTTGTCATGAAAATTAAGGAAATATGTTGGAAAAAAACAATATTATTTTAATGCTGTGGATTTCTGTTAATGCATTGTTTCTTTTGTAAATAAAAACTATGAAATAAAATTACTTTTTATGATCTCAAATACAGATGTTTGTCATCTCAACATGCACCCAACAGTTTAAATGTTTTCTTTAATGAAGGACAAGGATAAGACAAAGTGAATTTAAAATTTAAGATCAAAATAGCCAAATGAAAATAAAATATTTATTCTTTTTAAAAGTATTAAAAATCAGCAATACTTTGGCTACTATTGCCTAAAATTTGACATTAACAATAAATACTCACTTTAGAAAAAAAAACAAAAAAAAAAAACCTTAAAGGACCACTATAGGCACCCAGACCACTTCAGCTCAATGAAGTGGTCTAGGTGTAAGAAATGGGGTGCCTTTAAAAATTATATTTTCTATTTTAATATATTGACTTATGCTTTGTGAAGGTCATTTGTGTAATAAACTATCTGGTTTCACAATGGAATTCCATTTATATTTTAAAGTCGAGTTAATGAAAAACTTGAGGAATGTTTATTCTGGAGGGACGGCATGCCCCTTATAAAGCAAAATTACATCATATGCATTGTCAGAGATAACATGGAATAATACATCAATAATTGGTTAGGTGTTAAGTGGTTCATTTAGTGCTCTTCCTACCGGGTGTGATGTCACTGGTATCTTGGAGGTCTCCCCCAGATTCCAGCACCATCTTGTTAATGCGGGTGTTAGTTGATGTCAAAGGGAAACTCCCTACCGGCCATTTTAGGTAAATCACATATAAGGTTGAATAATGCTGATTGTGGTTATGCTGAGTAAATAGGCATTTTATTAATATGAGTTGGGTTAATATTTTGTCCACAACAGTCCCCCCTTAAAATGACTATTTACTAAAGAGACAACTACTAACTAACCCTAACAGTGTCCCTACTTGGCTGCAGCTCATCTGTCTGAACAAGCCTCAAATGCTTCACTGCACGGGTATCCCGTAGTGGCTAACCCACTACATCTCCCGCGTCAGACTCCTACCTGTGGAAACAGACACTGTCCCTATGCTGTCCCTATAAAGAAGTAGTTGTCCTTTTGAGGTGGTGGGACTGAAGAGGTGTGTGCGGGGTGTCACAGTCTATATCGTCAATATTTTGATGTAGGAATGTAGGTGTGGTGCAGTCAATGGTCTGATCTACAGTCTTTTGTAAGTACCTTTGCACCCAGGGCATCACACAGCAAATCAGGAAGAGAAAAAGAATTACCACAGTAAGAACTGCCATACCTACTTGAAGGAGAGTTTTCTGCCATCCAAACCATCTGTCCCATGAAGTGGGGACTCCCGAGTTCCTCTTTAATTCGTCAGAAAGACTTTCTAATTTCTCTATGGCCATGGTTACCTTACCGTTGGGGCCTGTATTGTCTGGGATGAAGGTACAGCATGTCATAGTATCGGGGAGTATTTTACACATGCCCCCCTTTTCTGCTAGAATCATGTCTAAGGCTATTCGATTCTGAAATGTCATTTGGGAGGTAGTCTGTAACTGTTCTGCCAAGCCCTGAAGGGCATCTCTAGTATAATTGTTGCTGGTTATAATAGATATAATTGATCCAGTTAACATTCTTGTTAGTGGTGATGAGTGGGATCAAGGATTCGAATCCTGCCACCACCTCATCTCTGGCCTTGAACTCATTTGGTACCCCCCTTGGTACTCCATTGGCATGGACATATATGTGTGGGTCGAAACTACCTCGAATGGGGGTTTCTCTTTTTACTCTAAGATACGTGTGTGGTGAATCATGTGGGCCTTGGTGGTTATCAGAAATTATGTGTATGGGCATGATAGCTTTGGTCAGAGTACATTCTCCCCACCACAGGCCAGTCATTTTCGATCTGAGCTGCATGTCACCAATAAATGTCTCCCATGGACTTAACTTGATTTACTAATAGGGAAGTGGGAGGTTCTCGATAAGTGGTACAGTAGCCAGAAGGGAATTTACCTACAAATTTACCTGTGGCTCCATGTATTGTGTAGCAAGTGTAGTTACCTGGGTACACGGTGATTCCATCAGGTGGCCTTATATTCCCTTGGGTTATTGGGTAAACCTTTTTCCATGATTCACACACTGATGAATTCACTGATGACTGCGCATAGAGGCTTAAGAAACACATCTCAACATCTGGAGCTAGATTTAAAGGCACTGTACCCAGATGGGGTCTGGCCCCACCACAAACATAACAGTTTTGTTGTGTGAATTAGCATTATACCTCATCCATTCAAGCCATAGATTAGTATCTGAAAACCCGGTCTCCACAGCCATAGTGTCTTCAAATGTGGGTTAGCAATGGCTACCATGTCGTTAAGGGTTTTAATGTGTGGTTTTACCCAGTCAGGTGACGTAAGCATGTCTTCTGTAAATAGAAGGTCCCCAACTTGTTATATGAGCCACCCCCATTCCCATTACGTACTCCCGAGCATCTCCTGGGCTGGGATGTTCTATGTTTAAGGTGAGCTTCATTGGGGTAGACCCTGTTGGCTTGCATAAGGTCATTCTGTACAACAAGGGTTTCCCATATCTGTCAATCCTATCTAAGGCACTTTGTGGTCTGTAGCCCCATGGTCGGCCCATATTCCAACCCGCTGCTTTCCAGGTACTACAGTGATGTCCCCAATGGCCACCTATCACACAAATATATGGGTCCTTTTTGTTTGGTATGTCTTTGTATATTGCTGAGTGTTGTGATTGTGGAAAAGTACAAGAGACAATATCACAGTAATCAAAGGTGAAAGTAGCTACATGTGTGTTTGAAGAATTATACCAGAATGTGTAAACATGATTGTCTTTGGTAATAGCAACTTGTTGGGCCTTCGATAGGACTAGTAGCAGAAATTGGCACAGGAAGCTCATGATTTGGCGGAATCTGCTTCCTCTGGATCAGGAACTTTCTTGCAGTGCGAGGCGTGTATCCAGGTATTCTTCCCAGCCAACTTTACAGAGGTAGATGTAGTCAATAGGACTTGGAATGGACCATCAAACCTTGGCTCAAGAGTGTGTTTTCTTAGGAACTTCTTGACCATGACCCAGTCACCAGGAAGTAGCTTATGTGTGCCTGTATTTGACTCTGGATCTGGAATAGAAGAAAACACCTGTGCATGGATTTTGGTCAAGGCATGAGAGAGTGCAGTTATATAATCTGACTGAATTTGAAGTTGTTGAGGAAAATAACAGCCTAACTTGGGTGCTGTTCCAAATAAGAGTTCATAGGGGGATAAGCTAAACCTGCTATGGGAAGACTCTCCAGCCAGGGTAGGTTAGTTTCTTGGGACATTTTAAGCATTCTGGCTTTCAGAGTGCCATTCATGCATTCTACCTTACCACTACTCTGTGGGTGATAGGGTGTGTGGAATGCAAGGGTCACCCCCAGTGCTGCCCTTGGTTAGCAACGCGGTGAAGGATGTACCCTGGTCACTTTTGATTACTTCAGGAACTCTGTATCTGCAGATGATTTCGGTAAGTAGACGCTTCGCCGTGGTCTTTGCAGTGAGATTAGCGACCGGAAAAGCTTCTGGACATCCTGAAAACATATCCACTATGACCTGCGTGTATTCATACCAGCCACTCTTTGGCATTTGGATATGATCAATTTGGATCCTCTGGAAAGGGTACTGTGGTTTGGCCAAATGGTTTGGTGCAGCTTTAATTATTTTCCCTGGATTACATCTGGCACAGATGGTACAGGATCTGCAGTAATTTCGTGTCAAGGTGGTGTGATAAAGTGAAGGCAGATAGGCCTTTTAACCCCAGGGGAAGTACGTGTAGTTTGTGTGTTGCACAACACAAAGCTTTGTTTAGTTATGGGCCCCTGGGGTGGAGCATTTGGAGAGAAGGGTGGGCCAATGCTCCACTCCACAGTTTAGTGGTTTTCTGGGGAGACATAGATCCAGGCCAGGGTTTTTTGGACCATCTCCAACCCACTGCTTAGCTGCAGTTAATCAGCTGTAAGACTAAAGCATGCAGAAACATCCTAAAGAAAACGTCAAGGATGAGAAAAAGATATATGCAAGGCCGAGTGCTGGTGGTAAGCAAAAACCACACAGAAGGTGTAAGTAAAGCTAGTGGATACAGCCAGGGGAAGACAAATGAAGCAGAAGCCCCTGATGTACACCAAGGTGAACAAGTTAAAGGCATGAAAAGCAGACTGACTTGGGGAGTCAGAGAAGACAACAGTAAAGGAGCTGAGCTTAACAGAGAGAAGCAAAGCATCCCAGTTGAGTATAGCAATGCGGTGCACTGTTTAGTAGCAGAGGCTACCCAAGAATGTCGACCAGCTGTTGGACAGTTTGGCAGAGAAAAGCAAGGCAGAGAAGTAGTGGCAAAACGAAGCCAAAATAAGAAAGGCAAAGTAGCCGCTTCTGATCTAAGCCAAGAGAGAGCGACAGTTACAGAACCAAGCTGTGATGATAAGATGGGCACGTCCGCAGCTAAGCCCGACCAAGGCGAACGTCACAAAGTAGGTGACATTGGCATAGCAGAATTAAATATTTCAGAGACACCTGGTATAGCTACAACGACTTTGAATGATTGGGAGCCGTAGAACTGGAACTGCTGGCAAAGACTACTGCTACAAGGCCTGGGCGGACTGACTACCTGGAACAGCTGCCAGATTCTGGGAACACAGTCATGGAATTAAAGGCGGGACTCGGACTGCCTGACCGGCTGTTTGATACCGGGGCTGTCCTGACTCAGCGAGAGGCCATGACTGCGTCTCTGGACACCCCCAAGGGAGCAGGGAGACCGCCAGACTGCCCAGAGGAAAGAATTGCTGACATTGAGAGGTGGCCACTCAAGGCAAAGGAAACCAGGCAAAGGAAAGATGAGCTAAGCCGGGAGTCTGGACCTCCGACACAAGAACAGCGCTCCATACCAGGCCAGGCCAAATATGATGGGATAGAGCTGAGATCAAAGGCTGCATTCATGCAGGAGGAAGTTGCTCTAGACAGCCTCCCTGGCCAACCCCCTGAGGATATAGAGATGAGACCTGTCGCATTAACCGTAGAAAGCAAGGAAGGTTGCCAGGGATTCACAGAACAGATGGAGGATGTTGTGAAGCCCTTCACGGAGGGACCGGTTCCAGTGGAGGATGAGCTGGTGACAGAACCAGGTCTTGAAGAGGTTGAACACCCAGCAAATTTGTCTTATGAAAGAACTGGACGTATAAGTGATATAGAAAAGTTAGTTACACGCAAAGCTTTTGTAAAGTTTGCGTTTGAAAGTAACTCGGACATTGAGAGACTATCAAACCAGAAGCTGCTGTGGATGTGGAAGCAGATGATGATTCAGAGGAACTTGGCTACTAAGGAGCCACACAGTACTGATCCTCAGCCTAGATCCGCTAGCAACCAGATAAGCGGGGAAACTGGAAAGCAAGGAAGTCTGGGACAATATACCTATGATGGTAGAACGTACCTAAAAGTCCCATTTTGGCTACGAGACCAGACTGAGAAAAACTGCTTCAACTGCCACATGCAGAGGTAGAGGTAGAGTTTGTCTCAGAGGTAGTAAAAGTTAAATGCCCTGTAGTACATCTAGCTCAAACGCAAGAGCGTATAAGTAAGGCCAGGTTTCTGAGTACCTTGGACCTGGTCATAAGATATTGGCAGGTTCCCCTGACAGAGAAAGCAAAGGGAAGGACACAGTTTTCTACTCCCAAGGTGTTATGGCAGCATAAAGTACTGCCATTCAGGTTGCATAATGCACCAGCCCCCTTTCCGCATATGAATAGGATACTTTGGCCCCACGGAGAGAATGCCGCCGCCTACCTTGGTGATGTGGCGATTCACAGGGTGGACTTGGAAGCCCACCTGATGAAGGTCCAGTTAGTTGTGAATAATGTAAGGGCTGCCGGTCTGACCGCTAACACTAAGTGTTATCTAGGATTTGAGGCAGCTAACTATTTGGGTTATCCACTTGGTTGGGGGTTCCTTAAACAACAAGGGAGCAAGGTAGCAGCCATCTACAATAGGCCACTTCCTGTAACTGAGGAGCAAGTCAGGGCTGGTACAGCCCTAGGTGATGTGAATGTTTGTGGTTTGTGTTCTAAGGCCGCTCGACCCGATGGGTCTGAGCTGGGGGGGAGGATATGTGATAAAGTGAAGGCAGATAGGCCTTTTAACCCCAGGGGAAGTACATGTAGTTTGTGTGTTGCACAACACAAAGCTTTGTTTAGTTATGGGCCTCTGGGGTGGAGCATTTGGAAAGAAGGGTGGACCAATGCTCCACTCCACAGTTTAGTGGTTTTCTGGGGAGACATAGATCCAGGCCAGGGTTTTTTGGACCGTCTCCAACCCACTGCTCAGCTGCAGTTAATCAGCTGTAGCAGTGGGAATAAACTCCTCCCTGCTAGGCAGGTAAAGGGGAGGGATTGCTGGCTTCCTCCCAGGAAGCAGGTAGCAGAGAGGCTGTTCTCTCCAGATAGAGAGTCAAGGAGACTAGGCACTGGGAGTGCAGAAAGGAAGCAGTCAAGGCTGGCTTGGAGCACTGGGAGTGCAGGAGGAAGCAGTCAAGGCTGGCTTGGAGCACTGGGAGTGGAGAAAGAAAAGCAACAGGCTAGCTAGCAGAGTGTTGCTATCTAATAAGGTTGGTGCAGTATGTTTTGTTAGTTTAACCCTGATAGAGAGGGTTATTCAAAGTGAGTCAGTGCTCAGACGAGCTAGGTTTTTGTTTAAAGGGAAACCTGTTAAATTTATGTTTTCATTTGCTGCTGCCTCATATGTAAACTTACAAATAAAGTGCCTGGAATGAAGTTGCATTAAAAGACTGCATGTTTTTGCCCTAGAGGACCGTGCTACCTGCTGACAAGGATCACAGTGGTGATTCCGGGTGCTTCAAAATATTTATCAATCAAAGAGTTTATGAGGTGCTTAGATAAATGAGCTGGTCAATGGGCCCACTGAACGACAGCTGGGTACATATTCTTGGGTAGACAGAATTTGAGGTTGATTGTGTACACTTCATTCTGGAGGGTTGCCCCTTTATCTTTCCAACTTTGTTTTTTCCTGAGGGGTGGCAGCGGCCTGTTGTTCTCTCACTATGCCTATTTGCATAGTGTAAATAGGAGTC